GTGAGCCCACCCTGATTAGCTGTCATGTGGGGCCCGTCCTACTGTTGCTATCTGGCGGTGCGCGCATTTCGCAGTGTTGCTGCCGTGAGGAGCGTTCTGCTGTCGTGCGGTGCATGCTGCGCGCTGCCGAGCGGTGCGTGTTGCGCACTACCGGGCGGTGCGTGTTGCGCGTTGCCGGGCAGTGCGTGCTGCATGCTGTTGGGCGGCCCACTGTGCATGCTGCTGCCTATGCCTGCGCCGCAGTGCGCTACCGGGCAGTGTGTCCATAACAAAATTACCCTTACTATTGATTAAAATTTTAAAATATGCCATTCGCTCTTTTCTTTTTTTCTTTTTTTTTCCCTTCTTTTCCTTCATCCTTAGGGCCATGCATTAACATTCCTAATATGAAGCAAATGCGACTGTGAAAATGATCATTTTCAGATGGATGAGAACAAGATTGAAAACAATATCCAGTACAACTGTGCACAGACTGGAGTCGATTGCGGCATGACTGCATGATCACAGCAAATGGGAGCTGTTTCTACCCTAACAACATGGTTTCACCAGAATTCAAATCAGCCCCCCACAGTACATTTTGGTCGTGTATTGGGAACATATCCCAATGATGACATCATCATTTCTGGTATTATTAATTTATCATCATGAGATATTCCCAATACACAGTAGGGGCAATCTTGTGGGGCTGATTCGGTCTCGGTTTCAGACATTCATTGTTATGAATCTCCACTATTGGGCCACTGAGAAGCACACCTGGGGCTGCTAGCAATTTCAACACCGCTACTCTCATCGCTCAATACACTTATCTGTTGGCTACTTGTCTATCCCCTTTGAGAATGGTACCCAACAGAACTATATAACAATCAATTTAAATGAACAAATTAATTTGTTGCTTCTAATCCTAGACGTGTGAAAATTCATTTTCCGATAAAAAAAAAAAGCTTTTTATGAAGCAACGGAGATTAACAATAGAGTGGAACATTATTCCACACTTTTGATACGAGAGCAAATCAGCCCCCCACAAGATTGTCCCCTACAACGTCCCACAGTACATTCCCACCATGTATTGGAAACATTTTCCGATGATGATGTCATTATCGGGAGATGTTCACAATACATGGTGGGAATGTGCTGTGGGATATTGTGGGGGCTGATTTGAACTCCTTTGATGCACAATCACTACAAAACTGAGAAGCTGGCAAACTGAATTTTGTGTAAATATTTTTGCAATTATTTTAGAAAACATGGAAAAGCTATTTGATTTTAGAGATTATTTATCTAAACAAATATATGGACAACCATTTCAGCGAAATGTCTTGTCTGATGACAATATTAAGGGTCCATTTGATACAGTGGAATTTAGAATCAAAATCAGAATCTTTTGGAATCAGAATCGGAATTATTCACACCTATAGTCTGTTTGGTTCAGACAGGAATGGAAATGAAAATAAAAATCAGTAGAAATAGGATTTCATTTCTAAGGAAAGGGCAGAGAATGACCATTCCCTCACATGGGAGAATGTCATTTCAGCAGGAATGAGAATGAGATTCCGATTTTGCCCAACCAAATAATTGGAATCAGAATAGTCCATTCCGATTCCAATTCCAGACCCCCATTCCGGTGACCCAAATGGGCCCTAATTCCAGTTGGACAATGTTGTTTCTAGTAGACAGTAGGACCCTCTGTTTTAGTTTTTTGTCATAGATTTGGGGGTAATAGTGGTATTATGAAAACGTTTGGAGTAAGATATTAATGGTTATAAACGGTGTATAAATAGTTTCTCAAATGTATGAGATCAAATCAACCCTCACAAGATTGCCCCCCATAACGTCCCACAGCACATCCCCACCGTGTATTGGAAACATCTTCCAACGATGACTTCATCATATCTGGTATTATCATCAGGAGGTGTTCCCGGCCAATACACGGTGGGGATGTGCTATGGGACGTTGTGGGGGGCTGATTTGAACTCCAAATGTATAGGGTACATATAAGTAATTAATCCATATATGTATTTATTTGTAAATAATATATATATTATTTATTTATAAATATGTTTATATTTCATTTTTGTAATTTTTTATAATATTTATTTTTTATAAAAATACATGTATATATATATAATGGAAATAGTTGAATAAAATAGTATTATTTTTTCTTTGTGTAAACTGTTATATTTTTTAAGTTTTTAGATTTTAAATACAATCAGATTGAATTTGCATACTGGCACTATTAAGGGATTAATATTCAAATCAGTGTTTGTGAGATCTGATCGGATCTATTAATTATACTGTTGAGTTGGATTCGGATATACCCTGATTTGAATCCGATCCTATCCATTTGCATCCCTAATAAGGTCTGAAATGGCCCCAAAATAAGAATCGAAATCCCATTCCTACTAAATAAACAGTGGGAATCCTAATACAAAATTCTAACTTAAAATTGTATTAATGAATAACTTGGTATAAAAGCACAAGGGTGTCCTGAATTTGTCATTTTTTTTACACCGAAAAGCCACCTGTAATTTTTTTGGGAGTTTTAAATTCAGGTGGGACTCAAATTTACAATTTCGAAAAAACCATGGTCATTTTACTGGTACTGATTTCTAGACTAAAACCATGGAATGACATACAAACAACCTACATAGTCAAACACCCTCTCAGTGCTTAAGAGTGCCCAAATATTGGTGATTTGTATTTGTAAAGCACAAAAAAATCAGCCACAGTTTTTTTTTTATTGTTTTTAACTTACTATTTTTAATCGAGAGATAAACAGTCTAATACATTGAAAAGAAGGGAAAGGAGGAACAAGTATGGAGAGAGATACCGAAGAGCTGTGGGCGATGTGTTGGAAGGGCGTAGCCACATGAAAAACAAACTTGCATCCTCTGATCGCTGATTCAAACTCGTGGGGGTTATAAATGTCGGCCTTGAACAACTTTAATCTAGTGTCTGCATTTAGTAGGCTCTTCAAAAGGCCTACCTTAATTGGGTCATCTGAATCAAATTTATCAAATACATCAATGAATACACATATACACACATATTAAGTACAAGAGAGTAAGAGAGAGAGACCCAAGTTCCTCAGTGTAGCATGAACAGTATATCCTTTCTCTAAGAGCTTCTTTACAAGACAAGACCCGATATATCCTGCACCACCTGTAACACAAACAACATCGTCATTGTTGCCTTTTTTTTTCCATTGAACTTTTCGAGTTTCAAAGCCCCCTTCTTTTTTCTTTGGTCGGGTAGGTAGAGACCGGAGGGTCGGGTTGGAGAGGAGAGGACTGTTAGGGGCTTATAGCCGAGCTACTGTAAGCTCAATGAAGAGGAGCAGACGAACAAGAACAAGAAGAAAAGAAAGAAAAATAAGCGGTTAGGGTTTTTTTTTGTGGACCACACGTAATAGGATGTGGAGACAACATTATCCGGACTTGATGTATTAGTGGGAGTGGCACTCTGATTCATTTGTGGACCATATTCATCCACACACATATGTAGATTGAACCACATTGTGTGGATGAAAACACACTACCCCCTAATAAGGTAGTTGTTTTGCACTATGGATAAAAATATGTAGATTGAACCACATTAAGGTTCAAAGTATCGTTACGTATCGATCAATATGTATCGTTTTGGATCCCTTCCGATATGCCCCTACAATGGGTGTATCGGGGGTCTGACTGGTTCAGGGGATGGAGGGGTCCTAAACTGGCTCCCTTGAACCAGTTTTGAAAAAAAAAAGTAAAACAACAAGTATAAAAAAGCCCAATATGCCCCTCCATATTTTGAACCTTGAACCACACCACACCTCCGTATGTGTTCTACTAGGTTTGTTACATTTCAGTCCACAACATGTGTTATGATTCAATGTATCTTAGTTATGACATGGGTTAGTACACAATATATGACAGTAATGGGAAATTAGGAATGCTTCTCACAAAATCTAGCTAATTTTACAATAGCAGGTGCATAAATTCTTACCAGTGGTGATGATAGTTGTTACAGCGATAGATAACGAGGGTAGGGGTGCAAATGGATCAGATCATGATCCAATTTGATTCGAGATCTGATCAAATTTGGTCGAATTCGGATCACCCTTGTTTAGATTTTCAAGTCGAATAATAGGATCTTATTATAAATCGGATTGGATTCAGATCACCCCTATTTGATCCAAGAAGATCTAATCCGATATATATGTTATATATTTTTATATAAATATATAATTGGTGTGTCCGGAAGCGCATCGTTAAACACTCTAGAACACCAGTTTAAACATTTATAATTTTTATCATTTCTCAAACAACTACTAACGTAGTAAATGGGTGAGAATGGGTCGTATCCACTGGGAAGCAAGTGAAAAATTAATATATACTTAGATCCATACAAGAGAATGCAATCGTGAATGGCAAAAAATACAAAAATAAAATCTATTATTGTTGAAATTAAATGTTTCGAATTTAAACAAGACAATAAATAAAAATCAAAATTTAATAAAGTATGGGAATCAACAAAGGAAATAAAAATAAAAAAAAACGATCCAGAATCCGGATATGGTGGCGGTATCTGCAAATCAGCCAAACATCTTGCAGGAACCCCTCCTGACAAGAATTGGGCGTCCGTCCTTTCTATAACCCTCGAACCCCTCAAGACACCTTAGCCTTGGACCGAACGAATTCAGATCTACAAAACAGAGAAACGAATAAGAATTAAATCTAAAAGATTGCAGAAATAAAAATAACAGAAAAGAAAAGAATGGTTGATCAGATCCAATGATAGTAGTTGCAGAATTGTTGAACAGTTTGCAGGAACCCCTCCTGACAAGAGCTGGGCGTCCTCCCCTTCTACAACCCTTGAACTCCTAAAGAAGCCTTAGACTTGTGAACTGAGTGAATTGACCAACCCCTTCTACAGGGCCCCTAGGGTTCTTTATATAGAGAATGGTGGACACAATTGGGAATAGAGAGAAAGGGTGGTGGCAAATGGGTTTTAGCAAAAATATGGGTGCCCTAGGGTTTAGAATGAAGGGTTATGATGGTTCTAAGGTGATCCTAAGGCTGAGAAGAAAAGGAGAAGGCACTCAATATTATGTAAGGCTGAGATTTAATGGCTAAGGGCTGAATGGTGAAGATTAGAAGTTAGGTGGCTCGTATGGTTGGAATGCTAAAAAGAGAGTGCCCTAGAATGGATGGTGGAGATTAGAAGGGATGGAAGGTGAGGATTTAGCAATTAGGGGCGGTTAGGGTTTGTTAAAAGTGAAAAGAGTGGGTTAAAAGGCACCCTAGGGTTTGCTAATGCGTGGGGAGCATGCTAATACAGGAGGGGCGCCAAACTGGGCTTAGCAACTAGGAGGCTCCCTCCTGCTTTCTGTTTTTCACAAAAACATCCCCTCTCAGCTGGACTTCACACCAGCTTCCCAAAATTTGCATTTCAGCCATGAAAACTCCATAGTTTTTCCTAGAATTTGCACAAAGACCCTCAGAGGCCACAACATTGCATTACTGGGAAAATGGCATATCTTGATTATTCTAAGGCCGAAAATACCCCTGAATTGATGCCCTTAAGGCATCAAAATGCAGAGTTATCAATAAGACATATGTATATGTTATTTATTTATTTATAAATATAGTATTTATATTGTATTTTTGTAAATTTCTTATATTATTTATTTTTTTATAAAAATGTATATATATTGAAAATAATTAAAGAATACTTATATCTTTTGTTTTCTTTATTTAAATTGGTACAATTATTTATTTTTAGTAATTTATTATTTTTTAAAGAAAACAAATCGGATCGGATCATATCCAAATATTCGACTTCTTGATCGGATTTGAATTCAAATCCTTGCCTATCATATCCGATCGGACCGAATCTACAATGAACAATGTCAGATTGGATTCGGATATACCTTGACTCGAATTCAATTTGATTCATTTACATCCCCAACGGCGGGAAATTGTGAACAATGGCGAGCTTCTACTTAGCAACGGATTAGCAGCGACAAGCCTTGTAATGATCAATGAAACCGAATGGTAAAAGGGAAATATTGCACAAAAAAATAAAAACAAAATGACAGTGGAAAATAGAGATGAATCACTTACATACATGGTTTTTAAAGCCGACCCGAATAACGAACTGGTTAGGGGTTTGGTTCTCAGGTCAAACGATCCAACCATTCTAACAAAAAAATAAAAAAATTTAAAAACTAAAAAATGGTCAAAACCGTTGAACGGTTTGAACGGTTCAACCACCTAGGTTAGTGGTTTGTTAACCAAATCAATGTTTTTCTTAGCAAAAATCCAATTTTGGGGAAAAACAGAATTGGTCACCTAACCGGTTCTCGATTTTCCGTTTCGACCATCTGGTTCGGTCTGGTTTTAAAAAACATGCTTACATATGATGGTCCAATGATGCAATGGTGTTTGGAGTAGCAGTAGTGCCCGATGTGAGATAGAGAGGTAGTAGACACGACTTCATAGTGATGAGCCCTAAATGCAACGGTAATATGTTGAGAATAGTGCGAAGCATCGGAAGACACACTATAGAGTAGTGTGAAAAGTATAGAAATAAATTGGAGATAAATTGCCATGGTAGCAATGGACTGTCCACGAGAAATATTTGTGGATGATATTTTGCCTTGTGGTGTAGACCAATCCACGATATACTATGGTTTGGTCTACACAACCAAACTAATAGTTTTGGGGTGGCATGTTTGAAAACGCAATATCTCATGGTGCTTCCACACCACCTAAATCGTTGAAGTGGGAGAGCACGTATTGAAAATGCATATGTCAACATGATCTTACAATCTCTTGTAATCTTGCATTGGGAATATCTCTCCATGAAATAAAGCACATGGGCTTTATCCTAATGGAAGCCGGACTCCACCATGTATAAGATGGGTATCTGATTATGTTGGTAGAGTATTATTAGAACGTATTATGTTAGCAAAAGATGAACGAGTTACACATTAGCTATGGGCAGGAATCCATGCTTAGTTGTGCGAACTTAAATTTAGGGGATGGAAACGGGGTGGGTTCAGGGAGGGTTTTGTAAATTCTAGACTCTACCCACCTCCCTAATTCTCCCAATCCATACCTGTCTCAAAACCCATAACGGGTTGGATTTTGAGAATCCAAACTCTCCACGCACATGAAAGTGCAAAACCCTCCCCGACCTTATCCTCCTTACATTCAAGGGTAGAAGTGGGTTGGGTTTAAAACTTGCATGTAATTTCCTACTATTTCTTGTCATATATAAACAATAAATAAGTAAAATAACACAAATAAACATCAAGATTTCTAATTATTTGATTAAAACATGTAGAAAACACAAACTAATAATTATCCTTCACATAAATTAATTCAAGATATTATTGAATTCAATACCTAGTACATAAAGTTTCTATGCTTTCCAACAATATATGGGTCTGGGAGGTCGGGTTTAGCCTAAAACTGTACCCTACCTGTATCCATACAAATTGCAGAATTTCAAAACCCATACCCGCCCCAAAAACCCATCATTTAAGAAAAAAAACTTGCCAATTAAGCATGTTTCAACCCCCTACCAATATCCAAGAACCGGCTCTAGGTCATGGATCTAGGATTATGATTTGTGTTTGGATCTAGAATCTAGATCTAGGTTTGGGGTTGGATCTATATTTGTATTTGGTTCATGGATCAAAGATATGGGTGATGGATTCTAAGATCTTGGTCAGGGATCTGAGTCATGGATCTACGACATGGGATTGAGATGTAGGTGGTGAATCTATGACCTGGATCTAGGTTAGGATCTAGGATTTAGATCTACATCTAAGTATGGATCAGTGTTTGTAAATAGGTCATGGTCCCAGGATCTAGGTCTGGATCTAAGTGATGTGTCTGTGATGTGGATTTGGATTTGGATCTAGGATCTAAATTTGATCTAGGTCTGGGTTTGGATTAAGGTTTGCATATGGGTCATGGACTTGGGATTCGAGACTAGGTCCCAGGATCTAGATTTAGGTTGGTCTCTAGGATTTAGATTTGGGTCTAAGTATGGATTAGTGTCTACATTTAAGTCATGGATCTTGGACACGGGTTTCACATTTGGGTTTAGATATAGGATCCAAATCTAGATGTAGGTTGGGGTTTGGATTTATGTTTATATTGGGTCATGAATTTAGGATCTGGGTCTAGCTCTAGGCCATGGATTTGGGATCAAAATCTATGTTTGGATCTATGTTCGGATTTAGGATCTAGATTTCGGTTTGTCTTTAAGATCTATTTCTAGATCTAGGTTTTAAATCTATGTGTATCTGGGCCTTGGACTTGGAATTTAGGTCTAATTTCCATATTTGGGTTAAATCTAGAACTAGGTTCGGATCTGGATACAGATCTATATCTGTATTTAAGATTTGTATCTAGGTCTAGGTTTAGGTTTGGATCTAGTTTGACTTTATGTTTGTATAGGTATCTAAGGATTTAGATCTTGGTCTGGATCTAGTTTTGGGTTTGGGTTTACATCTATACCGAAGTTATAGATCTAGGATTTAGGTTTAGGTTTGTGCCTATACCTAGGTCATGGATCTTGAAGCCAGATTATGGATCTAGGGCTGTGTGTGGGCTTATGTCTATACCTAGGTCATGGGTCTTAGATCTAGGTTATGGATCTAGGGTTGGCTTCGGGTTTGTGTCTATACCTAGTTCATGGATCTCGAATGTGTTTGATTTTGGATTTAGGTTTGGATCTAAGCATGGGTTTGGGTTCAAGGTCGATATGGATTTATATCTAGGTCTGGTTTGGATCTAAGATTTAAAATATAGGTCTAGATGTGGATCTGGATCACTGATTTAGAACATGAGCCTGGGCTTTAGGTGATGAGTCTAGGATCTAGATTTAGAGTGGATTTAATTTGGGTTTGGATCTAGATGTAGATCTAAGGATAGGTTATAGGCCGACCTAGGATGTGGATCTAGATTTGGATCTAAGTCTGGGTTTGGGTTTAAATCTGGATGTAGATCTAAGGATGGGTTATAGGCCAACCTAGGGTGTGGATCTGGGTTTGGATTTGGATCTAAATGTAGATCTAAGGATGGTGATGGTGCGCAATCCGGCTGGTCCTAGCTGTCAACGACCTTGCCTCTGGACAGAGCTACAAGGAGCCTGAAACAGAGAAGATGGGGAAGCTCCGGGGAGAACCCGGTATGAATGCTCCGAAGCTCAAGTTAGAATTCTTAGGCAAGATAAAACCAGATGGCACAAAGTTCACGTACCTTGTTCTTGGGGGTAGGGAGCCTTTTATAGCCACCTCGCACACTCACTCCTAAGCTTCTGTCAGGTTGGGTATGATTACCTCTGGTCTCCTGCCAGTTTGGGTGTCATCCCCTCTACTGGATAGAACCGCCACTGCTCCCTTTTTTCGGAGCCGTCTCTGCGACTGGCGATGACGGTGGCAGGTGGCGGTGGTAGGTGACCGTTAAAGTGCGGCTGTCAAGCGTCAGATCCAAGTCAGTCAGGTGTGCCGCCCTTGGATACGGACCTCCTCAGTGTCAGGTATGGTACGTTTGCTCAGTTCGGCGTCCTGGAGGCGAAGTGCTGGAGTGGCGAACGAGGTGAAGTCTT